TTTTTTTTTAATCTTAGCTAATAAGACTTAATTTCATGGTTAATAAATGTCTAATAAAAAAAAACACTTATGATTTTTATTAATATGTGCGGCATTACTTACATTTAATGTTAATTGCAATTACTTATTTCATATATTAATAAAACAGGCAACTGGTTTATTACCCTAAACTTTCTAACATGTGCAGAAAACGATTGAAAATTGTCTATGGATGTTTCTTCAACTATAGGCAATTTTGTCCCTGCGGACTAAAAAAAATTACAGTATGATATTATGACTTGAAAAATGACACACAATAAAATGTTATTTTTATCTTTAGTCTCATATTTCCAGCATAGGCCTACTCATCACTGACATGTTGTCTCTATAGTAAACAAGTACACTTAAAAGAAAATTTGATTGTGGCAAAATTGTTTAAAAATGACGCTATAACTGAAGGACAGTCTTACAGGCTGTACTGTGCAGACACACCCTATCTGTAAAGTACAGCCTCCTCCATACTGTATAAATAATCATCTGAGAGATGTGACGGATGCAGAGGCTCTTCCACTGAGGACCTTCAATCTGAGGTAGGGTGAGTTTAAACTGAAGTCTGTTGAATATTATAGATTTCTTCAAAGAGTTTAAATACATTCAGATGATAAATTATGATTGTGAATTACATTTACTAAATTGATTGAAATATTAATGTTATATTTAATACAAAATATTACATTTAAATCAAACAAAAGTTATTGAACTATTGACTTTATTTTGCCAATGCTAGATATCAGTGTTAATGTGATCTTGAAATGTAAAATTAAAGTTAAATGTTATGTGTGTAATTCTTTGGAAGATAAAATATTTTTTTCCTATCTTAATGCCGATATAACTGTAAGCAGCCACTCCTAAGTTAATTTCCCCAAAGGTGTACACTGTGTGGCACTTTCAAAGCATTGATCTATTTTTTGATGGGTTTCCCAGTTGACGCTCAATAGAAATGCCATGTTAAGAACCTTCATAAAAATTTACTACTGTAATGAATTTCTATATTGTCAATATTTTTTAGTGTAAACATTAAAATAGCAGAACATTTTCCTGTTCAGTTTTTTAAAATGATAATATTAAAATCTTAAATTCAATATAAAACTACAACATTTTGCCATCATTAAATTACCTGCTTATGATCCAAGTATATTTACAGCTTATGTGTTTGATATGTAGTATTTTGTTTTTGATTAAGATCTTGCCATGGGTGCCATGAGACTCTGCTTCCTGCTCTTCTGCCTCTTCTTGGCGAGCGTCTCTTCTTTGAGAAAACTTAACAATATTCATGACTTGAAAAACATTACATATGCCAAGTCTGCGCCACGTCATGGACTCCATTTATTGTTCTGGTTTGCCCAAAAAGTCGTGACTGTTGATCAGAACAACATGCTCATCCTTGATTCGAATTTTGATCCTAGTAGAGGTGACTTTGGATTCCATGGTTATGGCAATAGAGAGGACATTCTCCCCTCATTGAGCTCTTGGCAGAGTTACTATTCGGTTGGCAATTTAAAATCTCCCGGAGCCAATGCATTGCCAGCCTATGTGCGGAAGTATTACAGAAACACCAATGTGCCAGAAAGAAACATGGACAGGCTTATTATCTCTGTGAAACAAAATAGGCCAAACAAGATACTCAGCGTGTTTATTACAGCACATGACCTTCACAAGAATGACTTTAATCCTTCTGACACTTATGAGATTGATCTTGCTCTGCTCTTGCAGATTGGAGACCCGTATAACTGCACTGTGGATGAGAGCAATATTTCTGGTTTTTACACAATAGCACGCAATACAGAAGACACAGAATATGACAGATGCCTACAGTTTCTGACAGAGACAGGATATAGCAGCAAGGACTGTAAACACAGTCATATCAGCCGCAGAAAGAAACGCTCACCCTATTTGCAATGTAATGCATATGAAGGAATTAAACTAGAGATAAAAGCAACTACAGAAGGTTTCTCAAAACTCCTTTGGGAGATACCTGCTAAAATTATGGAAAATTCCAAATACGTATACATTGAAATTTGCCAAAACACTCGTTCCAGTGAAACTAATGAAGTTCATACGCAGGTCAGGAACCAGTTGGATATTTATGAATCGTCTGGGGCATTAGATACTTCTCTCTCCATGAATGCTGGTCTCCAACCTCGACTGCGACTGTACCCATCACTTTTTGATTTTCAATTTACTAATCCATACATTTGGTATGGACCAGAGTTTGATGGAGCCAACAGAGTGATTCCCATCCGAATAAAGGGGTTTGATGCAAGTCTGCAGCTTTACATTGAAGACGGAAAAGCCTGCACTCGACTCTACATCAAGAAAACCTTTAGCAACTGGAAAAATGTTTTTTCCCACTCATGGGTGGGGTTTTACAAAAGTTCACAAGATAAAAATGATGCCTATTCAGCATATCAGTATGCTGATAAGTTTTCAAAGATTGAAAACTATGTCACACACAATTATGATATTTACCAGTACAGTTCCAGTTTAGCTATTGCTCCTGGAGTTCTAATCCGTTTTCTGCTGGACAAAAAATATGACAATGTTTTAGCAGAAACTGTGCCCTGGGAGGGTGTTGAAACAGTGACAATATTGCTATCAGATTGTGGCACACAAAGTCTTCAAGCTAAACTCTCATCAAATGTTCCAGAATTCTTTTATGGACCAGAGTATGATGATGTTGGTCTGCAGCTCTACACTGAAGACGGTAAAGCTTGTGCTCGACTTTATATCAAGAAGACCTTCACAGACTGGAAAGATTTATTTTACTACTCATGGGTGGGGTTTTACACTAGTTCACAAGAGAAAAATGATGACTATTACACGTATCACTATGTTGTGAAGTTTGAAAAGATGGAGGTTGGTAATGAGAATTATGATATTTATCAGTACAAATCCAAACTGGCTATTGCGCCCGGAGTACAGATCCGTTTCCTGAAAGACAAAGGTTCTGATAATGTATTAGTGAAAACTGAGCCCTGGAAGAATGGTTAATGAATCCATATAAGCTTTAAAGTAGGATAATGTTACACTAACAGTAAAAATTCCCTTTAACTTTGACTTTAATGAGTCTTTACTAATATACATCAACATCTGTAACAATCTGCTGTCCATGTCCTGATAAGAATGATCAATAACACATTGTTCTAACATGTCATGCACTGTTAATTACAGATCTCTCTAATACTTACATCTTTATTTTTTCTTAACAAATACTTATTCTAGATAATATAATCTCTTGTTAACAATAATATTGAAAAATGCAATAGCCTTGCTCTGTTTGTTGTATACATTTTTTTCCCTATTAAAATGCATCTGATGAAAGTGAGTTGAGTCTGTGTCTTTTTTGATATTCCAATGGACAGAACAAGCATACCAAAACTGAATAACGGTGGCAGTGTTTTTTTTTATTTTATTTTTTTTTATTGTGAATTCTGTCTTTCTAAATTTTGTGAAATGCCACATGTGTTTTAAAAATGATTAATGTATACAATTATATTAATTACAAAATCTGTTGGCCAAAACAATCAAATATATTCATGAAGTATTCACCCACTAAGAACTAACTACTCCAAACTAACTGATAATATATTTCTCCTGACTATATATGGCAATTACATCTTAGCAGTTTTGATGAATGGCTACACTATTTTTAATTTTGTCATTTCATCTGAATATCAACATTTGTGAGATTTAGTCAGTTGAAAGAGTTTTGAGGTTAATGAGGGATTTGTGGACAGTAGGGGCCATTTTACCCCTCTTTTTCATATTTTACATTTTGTGCTATAACAACTAAATAAGCAAATGTTTTTATTTATTTTCTATAATAACACATTGGCTAATGAATCATCATCCTGCACA